ATGCATTATTTGGATATCCAAAGAGATAATATACAAGATAAAATAAAATTTAATGCCTGACTGTAAATACTCGTAAGTAGTAAATGTTTAAAGTCCCTAGAACAATAAATAGCTACCTAGTTAATTTAAAATAAAGTGAATTTGCTGTTCACTCGGTTCATAACCGGCGTTTACATTTGCGAATAAAAATAGATAGAATGGCACGATACGGATTTTGACACTGTGCAAAAGACAAACGCAGCGGTGTAATTTACTGTTCTAATTTAGGATATTAGTAGGTACACATTGGTAATTTCACCTTGTGAATGAAATTATGTAAATGTAGAGAGTGAGAACATAAACATAGCGTAAGTAGGTACGAGAAAGAGAGTGGGAATGCCATGGCGTTTCGCCAAATCCTAATAAAATTATGGTTGAACATAAAACTAGATAAACATATTATGATGCATGCGCGTAGAAGTGATGTCGTGTCGATGAAAAGCTTTTAGAACAATTACCAAATTGTAGAGAACTGTGTCGTCACTGGAGGGTCCTTTGATGAACCTGTAAATTCCCGGAAGGCATTCACGGACATAACTCTCTCCGGAGGCGCCGAGGAGCCGAGCCATTGAATTGTCACCTCCGCGGAGGCGGGTCCATTAGGCCGCGCCGCACCGGGCCGCGCCGCCGCAGCGCTGGAGTAGCGGCCATGCTGCTACAAAATTCATTTTTGCTAACATAGTGTGTCTATAACACAGAACTGCTTTTTCGAGATCATACAAAAGGTCTCGTTTGTTTCTTACGCTAGTCGTTAAGGTCTCATCGAGCTCTTGAACGGTGCCGCTATTTGGTTAATCTGCTAGCTTCTCTCGCGGCTTCACCCGAGTAAATATCGCATTGTCACAGAAAGTGATTTATCGCCGGGCAGTCAGTATTACTATTTTACAGTAAGAGCAGAAAATGTTGTGTGGCTTCAGCATAACGTCTGTTTTGTATTGCAAACTAAGAGGAATGGAATTAATTCGCCATCGGTTGTTGCGTATTAATAAGCTCTGAATCTTGTTTGTCTCCACCCGCCCGGCTGGCTCGTGCCGCGTGCGACAGTGCGCGCGGGAGCAGTGCTCGTGCCGAATTATCACACCTTTGAATCCTTTCAGGAAATTTTCAGTAGTTTACCATCTTGATCTAAATTTATTTTAAACTAAAATTGCTCTTTTTTCTATCATGAGTTTCCTGGAAGCTCTCAATTTCCCAGACTTATTGGTTCCCGAGTTTATGCTTGGGAAGTGAACATACCGCGCATTGCATCCGATTGTGGTAGTCTGCCCTCGGGATACGTGTTTTAAATAACCATCATGGATAATAACTCGATTATTTCAGTTGTAAACCCGTCCTAATTGGATGAATTGCCAACAATTGAATGTATTTAATACACGCGTAAATCATCACCTGTTTATTATTACATTATGAAAATTGTGCTATTTTGCCGAAATTCGGCTTTTGGAGCAGATTTATGAGCGTCATTATAAAAGCACAATGTAGTTTCATATACGAGTATTAGGCCCAGAACAGACGGTGAAACGCAACTGCAACGAAAATGCAACTGCTAGTTACTTTTGAGTTTCATCTAAGTTTCTGCCATAGCGTCCGTTGAGAGACCACACATGACCCGACCAGTTTGAAACTTTCAGTTTCAGTTTCATTTATCAGAATCATCAGAAAGTTGCAGTTTCGTTGCAGTTGCGTTTCACCGTCTGTTCTGGGCCTTACTCATAATAGTTTTATTTACAAAGTAATAGTTATCGCATAACTATAATATCTAATGTACCACATTCTGCAAATAAATAATTTCATTTCATTTCATTTCATAACTTTTCATTTTATCTGCTACTTTTTATTATGAAGTAACAAAGCGAATAACCCTCCTTCGGCGCAGTCGTAACCAACGCGAAATTTAAATTTAAAAAATCTACGTTTTTACTACCGCAAATATAAACATTCGAATCTCGAGTGTTGCGATTTCGTAATAACATTTCTAACAAGCTGGCAAATAACTACCTGCGGAGTGACGCTGGTCGGCGCAAGACTAATGCGACGCTTCCATCACGCGCACAGCATCGTTACAAGAGCGAGGCCGCGGCGACGATATAAATCTTCGTAAAAACGTTTAAAAATAAAGTAATTTATCGCCGATAGAGGATGATTGAAGCCGGCGCGGCTCTATTAAGATACAGGAACGGTTCGCTGTTTGTTTTTAATAACTCGAAGGTTACTTTTACGGTGATTGATTTAGCTTGGCGCCAAACAGATGAATAAATGTGTATTGCGTGAATATTAGGTACCTTACCAACTTTCAGTCATAAATCAACACTGTACGCACCTATTATAAGTGAATTAATCATAGAGGTTAAATATTTTCAGGTAGGTAAAAAGGTAAAAAATAGATACCACCTAACTGCTGTATTATTGCTATAAATATGAACTACAAGTCAATAATAAGAATAGCTTACTGATTTTACTAACATAGATGTATTTTATGATCTAATAAGCTATTTAACGATAAATACAAATCTATTTCTATTCACAACTCGGTTGTAAATTGCAAACTTTCTTCTGAGTGACAAGAGGAGGAGTTAGTTTGACGTGAACACAGTTTGATTTCCCCGAGGCGGCGGCGCGAGCCTCCAACTTGGCGCTAATTACGCCACAGATGGCGACACTCATTTAAATGCCACCCGATACAGCGCCGGACTAGCTCGCTAGTTGGACGATACTTCAATACTCTGACCTTACAACACTGATTGATCCTTTAGAACTTGGAGGTCATAATCCAAATAGATTTCTGTTTCTGAATCCTCTGCTGATTGCTCTTGTTAGTGTACAAGAAGGCGATGCTATTGGTTTTCACCTGCCAACTGATCATTCGTTTGGGATTTTTTGGTATTACCAACTTTTGTTAATGACACGAACGGAACGGTGTTATGAGGCGGAGAACGCAGTAGTGGTCTTTCGATTACTACGCGGACTAACGTCGTAGCACAAGGATTTTCCTTGTGTAGAAATCATAATACTGAATAGTTACATCTGCATTCTGTAAGTATTCCTACAAAACTCTTTTTATATTTGAGAAATAAGTACTATATTATGCATTGCAGTTCACATACGAGTATGCATTCCACTCGGACAATCACAGTCACAACCTAGTAATCGATTAGTAATAAAACAAAATACATTCGAGACTGATCGGGATCATTAACAGACGTTTTAAAGGTATTCTTATCACTAGAAATGTCTTGATTCCAATTGAATGTATGCCAACAAACATCGTACAGCTGAACACATAACTGTAATTTTAGATTTATTGAGAAGCCAACGCGAAGTTTTTTATGTTTACATAACATTTACATAAAGAAAGAACTCTATTCCAGTCGCAAGTACGCAAATAGGATTACAGCCCACAGACAAGTGGCTTTCTACGTTAACTGACGATAAAAGAACCGCTTAAATTAGAACCGACGTGCTAAACCGACGACAAGTCACGTGATATTTCGATCTCGAATGAATTTGACGTTCGATTTACGGTGGTGTGAGGTCAATTTAGGAGCAGTCCTATAGGTAGGTAGACAATTATTTATTTTATTATTTATTTATTGAGAAATGTTCACTAATAGAAGAGAAGACATTTTCTAGGCCTAGAATCCACTGGAGCCGTTCATAAAAAGCTTTTATTTTAAAAAACTCATAAAACTCATTTATTTTAAATAGGCTTTATAAAGCACTTTTAGGTGATCCCAAAGCTGATTACACACAAGGACATTAAACCGGAAATAAAAATTACATGCTCCATAAAGTATAGAATGGATTTACTACGTACCCTACATAAATGGAGCGTTTGACTTTCGTAAATATGTCGTTTTAGGTAAATCCCTCAGTCCAAGCATTTTGAATCAAATAGAATTTATGGGCTTTTTATGAACAGAGAAATGCGAATACTTGACGATCGTTTACTATTCCTAGCCACTAACTCACAATAACAACTATGCGCTTCCCCGAGGCGTTGTAAAAAGAGAAGCCGTCAGCATCGGCCCCGACTTGGCACGCTTCCTAACGCTAATTATTTTCCAGTCAATGAAATATCTTTAAACATAAATTTGTGGGCTGTGAATACAATCTTATTCTGTTCGAATTTGAACAAACATCGGTAATTGTCAAGCATCATGAAGTTGATGCAAAAATATAGATATCGCTTTTAAATCGCTTTGGAACACGCAATTATAGTTTTATTCCTGAAAATAATTAAATTGTTGGATATTGATCAATTTAAAAGGCCTTTAAAGGCGGTTCAATTAAGGGACCATTAGTCATACCGCGCGATAGCATCGGCCGGGCCCGGACATGGCGACTCGTCGCGGGCTAATATCAATTTGTTAGCGATCGCTATCAAGGCAATAATTACTTTCTAAAAATACTATTTGATACTCGTATCTACTCGCACAGTCGCACCACAGTAATACGAAAACTGATAGTTTTTTGTGGAAAATACCTATGTACCTACCTTTTATTTTGTTTAAATATTTATTTCATATCACTAGCGTATGGCCTTACTTTTTTCTAAAACAAAAACCTAAAAGAAAATTTTATTTACGCAAGAGTTTATATTCGTTGTTTTCGAATTCGTTTCGAGCGAAGCAAGTTTTAAACCACAGTTTTTATTTGTTTAACTACCAACGCCCGCATAACCACTCGATTTTTTTTTGCGTTTGGACGAAAACCTCGGGAAGTAGAGTTTGTCAACTTGGTATTTTGGAAAATACTTCACATACTTAGGTACATCCAGTATTCTATATTCATTAAATATTTACTTATCTAGTCAAGAGCTCTTTTTTCTTTAATGCTATTCAAAATGTAACTAAAATTCGCAAACAACACTTATGTAGAGTTGTCTACACAACAACACTACTTACGCACAATAATATACAACACGGTGTAAGTTTAACTAACTTTTTATGTGTTCTTTACAGGGACCTGACACCGCCGCTAATGCTCCGCGAACGCTTTATAGCTCTTTGGACCAAATAATTGAGGTAAGTTCAAATCATGCGTACCTATTTACTGTACGTACTATACGTAGTTTCATTTGTGGAATCTAATTGTATGGTCGATCCAAAGAAAGTTTATCACTGCAATGGACGGGCGAATGAATGAATTTGTAACAATACTTGCAAAACAAACGACTAGTGGGAGACAGAAAATAAGAATTGTCTAGTGATTTGTTTCATTTCCATTCCTACAGGGAAAGCGTTGGTCTTACTCGGAAATACATTTCAATACATATCGGCTCTTTTACATAATATTTCAGCCAGTATTTGAGGCGTAGGCCGATAAAATAAAAAGATATGGGGAGTGATATTAGAACGTTCATATACTCGATTTTCTGGTATAGACTTTTTTTAGTAAACTAGATAACTAGCTAGTGAACGCCAGACCTACGTTATTTTAAAAGCTGAAAGTTTGTCAGCGCATGCTCCCAGCATAGAAGAACATTGGAAAATTATGAAGTTTGGATCATCGTGGCATCGGCATGCGATGCGCTTTGATCTGCCGATACAAAGCGATTACGATTGCCTAGAACTTGAAGTCTGTGCGCTTACCATGAGTTTACGTTAGGTGTGCTCGCTAGCGACTGCGTAAAAAAATGACATTAATTGTATGACATATTGTGCAGCGCCCCTAGTGGCTACTTTTAAGAAACAAAATCTTCATAGAGATTTTTGACGTACTCGCTAGCGAGCACACCTAACGTAAACTCATGGTAGGTACACTGAACTCCTTTTGGAATGCACAAATATTTCAATACAATTCATTACAGAACAAAAGTCGTATAGACCATCCGTTTCTGTTTCAAGGGATGATCCAAAACTGACTACTTTATCCACGTACAAGTTGACCTACAGAGGTCAGGTTGAAGGGCAGCGGAATGTCGCCCGCGGGCTGATGCGGTGGCAGCGCGCCAGCATCCGGCCTCTACGTCATTCCTGTCACTTCAAAACCCAAATGGGCCATGAGATAATCGAGTTAGCATGGGCATAAAAATCTGCTGTGTTAATTTGGCGGTGTAAAATCATGTAAAGATAATCTGATCGGTAGGTATACCGTTATGCCTTCAAAACCTGATTAAATAGGTTTTAAAATTGTATGCTCCATATGTACCTACTCATCTCATTGTTTAGGACTGAAATCCATCCGCCTTCTTTTCTATTTCTTCGTTGAGAGGTCAACCGTAGATTTTGTCTGAAGACACAGTAATTTAGATAGAGTGCCTGTTTATACCTCCACATTATGCACATTGGTCTTCTGAGATTTTTCAAAATATAATTTCATTGCACAGTATCTATACTTCTATAGTGTTAATATTTTGATGTTTAATGTTATGCCTCATACATAGGGTGCAATATTATTATAATGTACTCGTAAGAGACCATGAAATTTACAAGAGTACAACGCCGTTATCTTACACTTGTCCTCTCACCGCGTCCAGTAACCGTGTGCTGTCATGGCTGTCATCCGTCATGTTCCCGACTCCTCCCCGAGTCATATTTCCGTGGCTTGTTGTTGTCAACTGGCGTCACTTGTTATCATTAGCAATCGTGTATAATATGATCAGGAGGCTAGGGGCTCAGTAGGTACTCGCATAGTTCGCAGAGCACACGTTACTATTTTTTTACTAATTTCCATTAACAAATCCAAAATGGTAAACATCGTCGGCATTATGTGGACATGCGTCTTTCACTTGAGACCAAATTGTATTAAACGTAAGATTAAGTAATAATATGGTAGATAGAGATTGTTATCCAGTTTCTGAACCCATTTTCGCTTCGCTGCAATGATTTTATTGTAGTTTGAAATTTTCAGTGGTTTTTATGTTTATATGTTGGGAAAACTTCACTTTCCCCTAAAAATTGCGCTTGATGAAAATACTTGAAACATTTTAAATCATGCCTTTCATGTTGACACATAATGTTTCTCTTCGCACATTTGTCTTCCATCATTAATAGTTGTTGGAATGTCGATGAAACCTCAAGGGTTACTTAACTAAATACTAATAATCCAAAGTTTATGTAAATGAATCAATGTATCTAATTGTGATCGACTGGAGCCGACGTCTCAAGTCGATAAAGGTACTGAAATCAACAGCCTGTAAAGACACCGCAGAGTCACCGCTGAGGTTCCATTTAGTGGGTCCCTAACGATAAGTGATTACTCAAGCCTCGGCACCTGACAAGCCGACATGAAGCGGTCACCTAAGTAATATTTTCCCGTCGCGCCCATTCGGTCACTTTGGGCACTTTGCCGCCATATTGTCACGAAGATCGATGTCCCGAAGCTTCCTATTGCCTGTTCATCAATCTTCGAGCTAATTAATATGACGCGTGAACTTTGTCAAGTTATTTTAGTACCAGAATTTAACACATAATAATGTGTTCTGTAACAGACAACTGCAAAGTTTTTTTAAGACTCATGCAGCAATAGCAAGGACACTATGCTCTCTCAACCCGACTAGACATGTAGAAAAGAAATTAGGTTTTTTTAAAAAGAAATGTTAAGTAAAATCTTCTCAAGACGTTGTCAAGCTGAAAAACTCTCGAAACCCATTCACAAAAACTATTGACGAGACATAAGGGCCGGTTTATAGATGGACCAACCACAAAAACTACGGACAGAGCGTCTTATTGTCAGATAAAGTTTTAGGGGACATGCGAAAGTTATTTATGGGCTCACAACACTTTACGACACAGAACACGATCATAACAGGTTTACGATAGATGGCGCACGTGTGCTCTCGGCACATCGAATACAACAGAATCAATGGCTTTCCGTTTTATTAGGCAGTATTTTCTTTGAGGGGAAGGAAGCGAGAGTAGTATTTCTAGGTTTTACACCCTCTTTAGGTTTGCCATTATTCTGGAAATAGGGTCGACAAAAGGATTTATACTCTTTTCTCAGACCTAGTAAGTTTATCTTAGTAAATATGTACTTACCAAGAAGTATTTAAATAACGGGTATGATAAACTGATTGCCAGATTATACTATTGCCTCTTCGGTGGTTCGGGGTTTCAAATCGGTGGATAGGGTTAACAAAGTACTTAGGTATATTTAGAAACAAAGTATTTCTTCTTCTTCTTCATCGCTATACACTCTTGCCAGAGTGGTCGTGCTAGTCACACCCGGTCCGTAATCCGTATAGTATAGATAATTACACTAAGTATATTTAACTGTTAATTGGAAATCCTTATTTTACTAGATTCGAGTACAAAGAAACTTACTTATTTACAGGTATAATTTAGAGTTAGTTTTAGGTATAGATTTTCCTTTAGTACTACTCACCTCACAATCCTATGCTTTGATCAAGATCAGGAAGAAAATAAAAGTAATGTAGGTAATTCGTAAATGAGCTGGAAGTTGCTGTTTAAGGAAGGGTTTGTAGTGTGTTTCATTCCAGTTTACGATCTCACAGCTAGATACTTGTGTCATGGAATAAATCAGTTTATACTACACGAAACTCACCTCTTCTCATATAAATGCTACATGCATATTAAAGCGCTTTTCAACTAGAATGTATTGGTAAATCTAGTTTTTCCGATACAGTGGTCAGTTCAGTAGCGCGTTGAGAATAGTGTATCAATGAGGTGACGTGGCCGGCGCGTGTCAAGACAGCTGGCGCGGCCGCCGCTTCCGTCTCGCCGTCGGCGCTTTAAAATAGTATTACACCGAGAATATTATGTGGCATAAAATAGAAACACCTCGTAGACTCACACGGGAGGCCAAAGGCGGCACTATTTCTCATACATCTCAAAATAGATCCGGACATAAAGAACTTGCATCAAAATTAATGATGTTTCCCAATTTTTGGGCCTCGACAAAAGGTCTTAATACTTATGACAAAAATGATCTCGGCAATATCCCAAGGACATCATCATCATCATCAGTCTTCTAATTTCACGTAACAGCTGGTAACGTAGGGTATTTTCAATCGCTGAACTATTCATTTAGTAACTTGAAAAAGGGAAGAAAACAATTATCAAAAATAAATAAACAAAAATAAATCCTATAGTTAAAAGATTAACTCGCATTGATTGTTTAATTTTGATTTGACACCATGTAAAGCGGTGCTACTGACCCACATCATCGTCACAACGTCAAGACTATCTCGGCATACGTAACCTGCAATAGATGGGTTTCTGTGGGACTGTGTTTACGTTGAATAGTTCCGTTAAGTACCTTCAAAGGGCGGGATCCTTGGGAGTTGTCCTGCCCATGTACTGCTCGCGCTTGATTGGATAAGTTTTAAGGACGCGTCCCTAGAGCAGAACGATACAAGTATGTCACAAATATTTAGATTCCAAACTTAAATTGATGTCCGGTTTCTTCCGACATTATTAGGGCAGGTCAGGGAAATAGGGACAGGGAATTTCAGCTACGTGTAGGTATGACTAAATACATAAGTAGGTAAATATACCTACCTACTTGTAACTGTATTAGTAGTACCGTGGAGTTGTGGTGGCAAGTGAGATGAGATGCTCTATGTATATTTTCGAACCCCATGAAGCACAACAATATCAAATCAAATGCTGTTTCATGTTTCAATGGGCAATTTTTACAACGCGCAAGAAATGTGCGACCTCCTATGAATGTCAGAAGTGATTTGAAATAAACAGATTCAAAAGATAAATAGCTATAATCTTGGACTAAAGATCAAAGCCTGCTGAAACACGGCCGAGTTAAATTCAAACTTCTGTCAAACTTTTTAGTTTGAGTAAAGGACTCTGCTTTTAACGTAGTTATAAAACAGTTAGCCTGAAGGGTCTAAATCTTTGAAACATTAAATTCACTTAGCCGCGCCTAATAGCTGTTCATAAGTCCTCATTTTCCGATGCGGCGGACTGTGAAGCTCGGGCTGGAGCTGGTGCGCGATGACACTCCATTCTCAATTCAAATGCGAAATCAATTACAAAATGAATGGATCAATTAGCAAATAGTTATAGTTATAAATCTTTATTGCATCATAAGATTATTTAGGAATTCT